ATGAGGAACATTTACGAGTAGTACTTGAGTTACTTAGAGCCCATAAGCTGTATGCTAAGTTTGGGAAATATGACTTTTGGTTGGAAGATGTTAAATTCCTAGGGCATGTAGTATCAAGGGAAGGGATGACTGTAGATTCATCCAAGATAGAGGCAGTGCAAGATTGGGCACAACCTAAGAATACTTTCGAGATTCGCAGTTTCTTAGGGTTGGCTGGGTATTATCGTCGGTTTGTGAAAGCTTTCTCTAGACTAGCTTCACCTTTGACTAAGTTGACAAGGAAAGAAATCAAATTCATGTGGACTGAGACTTGTGAGAAGTCGTTCCAAGAGCTTAAGATTAGACTCACCATTGCTCCAGTATTGATTATACCGGAGAGGGGTTTGGGTTATTCAGTTTATTGCGATGCTTCACGAGAAGGTCTAGGTTGTGTATTGATGCAAGAGGGTAAAGTAGTAGCCTATGGTTCACGGCAGTTGAAAACACATGAGAGAAATTATCCCACCCATGACTTAGAGTTAGCAGCAATGATATTTGCCTTGAAGATCTGAAGGCACTATCTGTATGGTGAGAAATTTGAAGTGTTCTCTGATCACATGAGTCTGAAATATCTGTTTACACAGAAAGACTTGAATTTGAGACAGAGAAGGTAGATGGAATTCATAGAGGATTATGATTTTGAGTTGCATTATTATCCCGGGAAGGCCAATGTTGTGGCCGATGCTTTGAGTAGAAAGCCAGTTAACAGTGTAGCTTCTATCGCCATCCGAGAATGGGAAATGTTAGGTACTCTTAATGAGTTTGACTTGCATCTGGGCGAGTCTGTTGAGTCTGCAGCTTTGTTTTCAGTAGTTGCACAACCTACACTTTGAACCGAGTGTTGGAAGCGCAAAAGGGTGACCTTGAGGTGGAGTCATTCCGAGAGAAGATTTCCAATGGGAAGGTAGAAAGAGGTTTGACTGTGTATCCCGACCAAAGTGTGAGATACCGTGATCATTTGTTTGTACCGGGGTCTTGCCGAGAGGAAGTACTCCGAGAGTTTCATCATTCGCGCCTTGCGGTGCATCCGGGAGGCACAAAGATGTATCATGATCTTAGTCGCCAGTTTTGGTGGAGATGTATAAAAAAGGATGTGGCTATGTTTGTATCAAAGTGCATTACTTGTCAACAAGTGAAGGCCGAGCATCAGAGACCAGCGGGTTTGTTACAACCTTTACCAATAGTCGAGTGGAAATGGGAGCGTGTTACCATGGATTTTGTAGTTGGGCTTCCTAGAACACAACGAGGCAATGATGCCGTTTGGGTGATTGTTGATAGGTTGACTAAGTCTACCCATTTCATTCCGATGTGCACCAGTGACTTGGTTGAATACTTGGCAGATTTGTACATTGGGGAGATAGTTCGACTTCATGGAGTCCTTGTGACTATTGTGTCAGATAGGGATCCTCGTTTTACTGTCCGATTATGGCAAAGCCTTCAAGAGGCGTTGGGAACTATGTTACCTCTTAGCACCGCTTATCATCCTCAAACTGATAGACAGTCGAAACGTACCATTCAGATTTTGGAGAACATGCTTAGAGCTTATGTCCTTGATTTTAAGGAGCCTTGGGAAAGACACTTACCATTGATTGAGTTTGCTTACAACAATAGTTACCAAGCTAGTATTGGGATAGCACCATTTGAGGCCTTATATGGCCGACCTTGTAGATCACCGGTTTGTTGGGCCGATGTGGGTGATGCACCGTTACTGGGTTCGGAAATTGTTAGAGAGACAACCGAGAAAGTTGTTCTCATTCGGAAAAGGTTAGCTACGGCCCAAAGCCAACAAAAAAGTTACACCGATAAGAGGAGACAACATTTATCCTTTGAAGATGGTGACCATGTGTTTCTAAAAATCTCACCAAGGTGGGATTTGATGAGATTTGGTAAGAGTGGTAAATTATCTCCAAGGTTCATTGGACCTTTTGAGATCTTAGAGCGAATTGGGGAAGTGGCATACCGGTTAGCTTTACCGCCACAATTTTCGAGAGTTCAGAACGTATTTCATGTATCTATGCTTAGGTAGTATAAATCCGACCCTTCTCATGTTCTTGATTGGGTTGACTTGGAGGTAGATAAAGATGCCTCTTACGAAGAATGACCGGTTCAAATATTAGATACCCGAGAGCAAGTGCTACGAGGCAAAACCATACCGTTGGTAAAGGTGTTGTGGAGACACCATGGGGTTGAGGAAGCAACGTGGGAACGGGAGGCGGAAGTCTGCTCCAAATATCCGGATTTGTTTGAAAATGTTTAAGTTACTTTTCGTTGTAATACCCCCATGTGGTTGAAAGAAACGTGTTGAAATTGTTAAATACATGTTGTTATGCGTGTTATTATTTTAAGCATGAAGTTGTTGTGGATTATTATTACTTTTTGGAAGACTTCATGTTTATGAGTATTTGGAAGGTGGTTATTAATGAGGAAACCATGATGTGATGGTGAAAATTGGTTGAGAACTAATGTTGTAAATTATAAATGAAATAGCGTGGTTTTGATCGCTAGAAACCCTTTTGTTTGGGTAGTTTGATTTGAAATTTCGGGGACGAAATTCTTTAAGAGGGGAAGGTTGTAGCGATTCCGGTTTCGATCATTCTTTCATGTTTTGCCACTTCGACTGGACCGGTCGGGGGTCAACTGCCTGATCAGCTCGTGAGGGTCCAGGGAGCAGTGCCGTTTAGCGAGGTTGAGGGGCAGCGCCCCTCAAAACAAAAATGCAAAACGCATTCGAAGTTGCTTGTCTGCCCGGTCAGTCTGGAGTGCGGGAGAGGGCCGCACGTGCGGAAAACAGGGCAGGGGGTTGAAGCACACTGCTAAAAAGTGTTGTAATGACCCAATTTTTTTTAAAAAAAAATAGCCAGTTGTAGACACCTCATTTTGACTAACCTTAAAATTTGGACACTTTCTTTTGACCACCCCATAATGAAAATTGGAATGCGCAATCTTATGAATTTCTCAACAGGAAAATGAGATTGAAGCCTTGATCCCAAACCTCACCCATTTTTGCCAAATGAAAAGATAGTCAGATGGATTTGGTAGAAAATAGAATATATGATGATGGATTATGAATGAGTTATATTTTAGCATGATGATGTTTTTAGTGGGGTGGTAATTAGGATATTTTTTTATTTAGAGACAACATAGAGAGAGAAGTAGTGTGCATGAGGGGAGGGAACAAAAGTATACACATGGGCTGTCTATTTTACTCTTTCGGTGGACTATAAAACAAAGAGAGAATGATAGGAGGGAGGAGGCATGGTCAGAAAAACAAGATGGTGGAGAATCATTATGGTGGAGGAAGTGGAGAGCAAAAAGAAATAAAAAAAAGAAAGAAAGAAAAGGGCGTGGGGTGGGATGTACTTTAAGACTACCATTAAAGACTATGTAAAAGAGCCTATTGAAGAAAGTATCTATAGGAATTTGAGATGCTTCTTGATGTGACTTCTAAGATCAAAGAGTACCATGATTCAAGAAAAGGACAGAGGCTGAAGGAACTACAAGAAAAACATTCTTTATCTGAATCTCAACTTCAAAGTTGTGAGACCAGGAAGCAAGAAATCATGGTTGAGCTAGACAAAGGATGAAGTAGATAGGCTTGCTCATGAGATTGACTCACTGCAAGACAGAATACTGAAGTCTGGTGGAATTCCCACTTTTGAATCTAATCTTCTGAAGCTGTCTCAGGAAAGAGAGAGTCTTCTTTCAGAGTTAAACAGAGGCCATGGTACAAAGTCTGTATATCAGAACAATATTTCGAGGAATAAAGTTGATCTTAAACAAGCACAATACAAGGACATTGATAAACGGTACTTTGATCAGCTGGTCCTGCTCAAGACAACTGAGATGGCAAACAAGGACCTAGATAGATATTACAGTGCTCTTGACAAAGCACTCATGCGGTTCCACTCAATGAAAATGGAAGAAATAAACAAGATTATAAGGGAATTGTGGCAACAAACTTACAGGGGACAGGATATAGATAATATAAGCATTCATTCAGATTCAGAAGGTGCTGGGACACGATCTTACAGCTACAGGGTCCTCATGCATACTGGTGATGCAGAGCTGGAAATGCGGGGAAGGTGTAGTGCTGGTCAAAAGGTTCTTGCTTCACCATTATACGGTTGGCATTAGCGGAGACTTTTTGCCTCAACTGTGGAATACTTGTACTCGATGAACCAACCACAAACTTAGATGGCCCAAACACTGAGAGTCTTGTTGCAGCTCTTTTGAGAATCATGGAGGATAGAAAAGGCCAGGAAAATTTCTAACTGATAGTAATTACTTATGATGAGCGATTCACTCATCTTATTGGTCAACGCCAGCATGCAGAAAGATATTATCGGGTTACAAAAGATGACCATCAACATAGTATAACTGAAGCCCAGGAGTTATGTGATTGAAGCTCATCACATGATTTTAGTGCACTTGACATCTTCATTCGGTTACCAAAATGAAGAGCTTGGTGAGAGCAGCATTTTGATCGGTGGAGATCAAAATCCCTCAAAATCGAAAATTTGAATTTTTGCTTGTCTCCTCTTCTAGCTTGAGGTAGGGATTTCCTACACTCTAATATAGTTTTTAGCTTAGTTATTTGCTATTGTGTATAGATGATGAGATTTGGTTGTGGTTTGGATAAATCTAAGATTTGGGTGTGAAATGAAAAGAGGGGTTTTTGATGTACGAGAGATAAGTGAGTATGGGGTTTGAATATAAGATCTTGGTGTACCAAAATAGTTGATTTTAGGTGTTTGGGTCAATATTGGAAAAAATGGATTTTTGCCCTAACTTGATACAAACAATCTCAGCCGGTGTACAAAAGCTTCTCTTTTTATTTTTGCTCATTCTGCATAATTCTTTTAGATTACAGAAATGAAACGGTCATGCTCTATCACATTACATAGCTTATTGTATGTCCCCAAAAAATATGAACCAAAAAAAAAAAGGAAGAAAATTAAGTAGATCACAAAAACAGAGGCAATAGTTTGTCAATATATAATAGAAATCCAAAATAAGTACCGTATATTAACATTCATTACAACAATGCGACGTCCACCAATGATAAATGTCAGTCGCTAAATTTTTTCGAAATATAAACAAGCACCTTTTCAATCTAACAAACCAACCCCGCCCTCCTTCCAAAAATCAATAAAACAATAAGCAAAGAGCTATTTCACCTCAAGAGTACAATTATTTCATATATACTTGACCAACTATTTTGCCTTGAGAAAATGAGAAATGGCAAAACTATCCATGTGGTTGTCTTTTCCACAAAAAGCTAGCTAGAAAACTGACACAAAGAAGCTGAAACTTCACTAGTATAAACGTTTACGACAATCTGCCGTCCCACAATGGCATGGAAGCTCTTTTATTTTTCCATCAGGACCAATAACGCCATCAAGAGTGTATCCATAGTCATATGTAAGTTCCTGAGTGTTACATAGAATGACAATATGTTATCTCAAAATGTTTTTTGAAATATAAAAGCTAATCCAATAAGAGAAGTACAAGCTATGGTTGGTGTCAAATACACTCCCATCATTTGAGCATTAATACATAAAGAAAGGATTTTCGCCAAGTAACAATAGTCCACTTCACACAACAGCTTAATTGAGATAATGTATGTGAAAATTTCACCTTGTTTGCTCGTTAACAATGAAGAGTTTCAGAATTTACTTTGTAAATATCATCAAATCCTTCAAGTAGTAATTGCTACTTTGTTTAGAGAGAGAGAGAGAGAGAGAACAATAAGAACAAATGCAATATGTTTTCAATGTTTTGATCTTCTGTAACAGATTCAACACTCAAAAACCTAATATTTATAGCCAATCTAACAGACTATTATCAAGATTTGTTTTACATTCGGAAGGAAAGCATTAAAGGTCCAAATGAATTAGTTTATCCCAAGCCTGAAGAAATCTCAGGTTGCAAAGATCATTTTGCCATTTAGCACATAAACTCGTCATTATTTCATCTTCTCAAAAGTGACAGATTGATTATAGCTGCCAATAACAAAGTGAAATAGGACAAATATATTGAAATATGAAATTTCAAATGGGTATGAAACAAGCAATCTAGCTCCTCCTATTTTCAATGCAAGCTCAAAAATAAAGTAATGCTCAACATGAGGAAAAGAATTATGTAAGACAGCATGTCACCTGAAAAGGAGCTATTTTTTCTGCAGCAAACAACACCACCCGAGCAAGTCTGACATCATGATGCATGCTTAAAACACACTGAACAAAAGAGGTTAGGCTCGCAACTGTGATTGATAAATCTAGCAACATTACCCACAGAGCCCGCATCTATGCAAAATTCAGGTGTACTGTCTAATGCCCTGTCATCTATTTTCTCCAAGTGGTTACTGATCAGCCCAGATGCATCTCCTAATCGCCTCTGAAAAGAGAAGAAATTGGTCAAGGAAATGCATTAACGAAATGTAATTGAAAGGTCGGATGCTATTCAAAGTGGAAAATGCTGTGGAACCAGAGACTGAACATCAAACCTAAGAAAGCATTAGATAACTAATCAACTTTGAATAATAATTCATATAAAAACTCCTATAGTTGAATTAGCAAAAAGAAGTAGCAATGATAAAAAATTTCTAGGAGTATAATTAAGCTATAATAGAATTTAAGAGAGCAGCAAGATTAAATTGAAGCAATGCAATTTCTATCATGAAGTACATGGTCAAAAAGATAAATATTTTTTTGATAAATAAAATCAGATATTATTAAAAAGCATCAAGTAGATGCAAAGAATACAAAACGAATAATATTAGAAATCATGAAATGCATCATGAAGATTTTTCATCCTTTGATTAGAGTATGATGTTTTATTGTAAGTGTAATCCAAAGGTGGAGAATCTTTCATAATCATTTTCATGATCTCTAGCATTACTCCCATCCACAAAATCTACAAAAGCCAACACATCTGGATCCACCGACATCGGCAAAAAGATAAATATGAAACTTTCAATAATTCAAAAAAGAGAAAGAACATCACTTGTGCTATACCCATTATACGTCAAAACAAAAAACAGCACAGAAGGAAAACTTTATTGGGAAAATGTGGATAAGTCACCAATGAAAATCATATAAGAAACCAAGTTTAAGACTTGATAATTCTACGGTATTCAGAAAGTTGAGAAATACTTTAAATAAGGGATTCTAGTGTTATAGAGAACATAATGGTGCTCCTGTTAAAGTTACGAAGTCAGTATGCAATGATCGTGTAGTGTGCTAAAGAAAGAAACATTGAACCTATAAAGTTGCAGTGAATTTTATTTTGCATACATCCAGATTACAACCCACAGTGAAGTTGCTTTAGCACCAGAAAACAGATTTAGTAACTCAAGTTCATTAAAACAATAGGGTGGTCAAATTATAGTGAAACTGAGGCAAATATCATTAAAATCAAAAGGTTAAATATAATTTCCTGAATAGCTGCAAGTACCTCTCTACCCCCAATCTCCTTCATTGTATGGAAACAATCAATTTCAAATATATAATCATTCTCAGCAACATTATCCAGTTCGTCTGTTCTCCTGAGCACTCCAATATATTCACACACTGGTGCACCTGAAGGAATAAAGTCTCTAGACCTGACGGCCCACCCTTTTTCTGGTGTTCGGAAAACCTGTTCAAAGCAAGGATAGGGCATTAATTCTGTATTACATAATATTCATGATGAATCACAAAATAATTATGGAGACATGACCTCAAGTTGATACTTCATTCTTTGCTGAGATATACGGTTAATGCAACCAAGTTCACAGCCACAGTTTGGTCCACATTCAAACACAACATCCTTTGCCTCAATCAGTCTGAAACAAGTAAAACAAGAAGTACAACTTTCAATTGAAGAAAAGTGAGTCATAGATTTAAAACTGAGAGAAAAGAAGTGACAGATGCAGCACCAATACAAAAATTCTGCAATTGCAATCAATTTAGATAATGGCATAGATAACTGCTTATCTGCTTCAAAAGATAGACACCCTAATCAATTTAGATTATGTAGGACCTCTAGAAGATAATTTGTAGAGACTTAGTTGGGGAGCAAGGTGAGTGGTCTTATACCTTGTACATCTTTAAATACTGGTTTTCATAGTGTAAATCCTTTCAAACATTTCAGAACTTTCAATAATATGATTTGAACTATGTACCAAATCTTGTTTATGAATGTGAAAACCAGTGGATATCTGTGTGTGTGTATAAGGTTATGCTTTGCAAATGTTTTGTACGCCATCCATGGTTAGTCCCAGCTACAAGGGGGCAATAAGCATGCTAGTAGCCTTTGTTTTGAGAGGTCTCCTTTGTTTTCCATGTTTCACGGCCTCTGTTTGCCACTTTGTGACCTCTGATGGGAATCCGGATCAACATGGACCTTGTTCCAAAGTGATGGGCACAATAACATGAAACTTGGTTTGTTTACGAACATGGTTGCTTTCGTTGGAAAGCCTCTGTTATGAATTCCATATGGAAATTGACTTACAGCTATTACAAGTTATGTTTTATTACATTTAGATATCCGTGGTACTTATTTATTGCTTTGTTTCAATATAATGCTATTCACTGGGCTTCAGCTCACGCCTATTGTTAATAATCATTTTCAAGTGATGTGGCTTATCTTGGAACCCCTTTGCATTTTACATGCTTTTGTCCTTGTAGTGCTTGGAACATGCCAGCATCTACCTAGTTTCTTTTTGAATCTTGTTCTAGTATGATTGTAAATAGCTATGTTGGTGATAGTAATTGCCGGTTCTTATAAATTTTGGCCAAATGAAGGTTAAGTCCTCAGACTCTTTATGTATGTATTATCTGTGCCACAGGCCCTGTATTTAGACAATTGCTCCACTGTGGGATGTATTTGACATCTGGACACTTCTTCCTTATTTTTTGTGTATATTTAGAGGCATTCTTCTGCCCAGTTGCATTAATTCTGTTTAGATTAATTTTAATCACTGCTGGTTTTGTTTTGAGCCCTTGATTATCAGCCGGATATGTCTTTCAATCCCAGATTAGGGGTGGGGATGTGACAAGAAGTGTGTCATGGGCAGCAGAATCCCTAGTTCCGTGGATGTATCATATATGTATATCTTAGTTCATATTCAGTTATAGGTAGAATTGGATCGCAGTAACTCCCATCCATGCGGTAAACTTTAAATTCCAATACAAACCTAAATATGCATTCTCAAAATTAGGAACCGAAGGACAATACTGCCAGTTTAACAAATTAATATATACAAAAATATTGAATTTCAATACAAGAAGCTCCTTCAGAAGCATGTTGCGGACATGAGTAGATAATTCGAATCTCACTTGCCACCATTTCGGAGTACATACGGAAAGTAAGTACCATTAAGTCTAGCACAAGCACAAGCCATTGAAATGTGGTCTTTTTTTCACCCTTGTGGTTGTTATTAGTTGGTTTAGAGCAAAATTAAACAGAGAATTGTAATTTGATTTACTCTGCATTGAAATGATTTCCGATCTATCTACGCAGCCATTAATCATGTGTCAGCCAAAACTCTTGCATGAGAGGCTTATTCCAATCGCAATTAAGACGGTATTCTCTGTTTTGACATCATCTTGTACCCTTGAATAATATTAAAGTATTAAGACTTTTGAGCCCTTCAAGTGATTCGTAGCTCAAATAACACATTTTTTTTACCTCTCTCCGCTTCAATAAAATTGCTCAAAACAACACATTCGTAGCTCGAATAAAATTGCTCTATGATATCAATAATCTGTACAGTAGAACCTTGACATCAATAAAAGCTGGTAACTCTCAAATTTCCATGATTTATTCTCTTTACTACCACCCTATAATGGCAATAAACCACAAAAAGGGGGGGGGGGGGGGGGAGAAAAAAAAGGAGAGAGAAAAAAAAAGAAAAGTAGATTAAACTAAAAGAGGACAAAAAAATAATGTGAAAAGTCATCTGAATGTGATCCTGACATAAATTATATAATGACTAAATCCTTCAGCCTCCCTACAAGCTATTGAGCTCTGATATAACTTTTGTTGCTATATACACTTTGTTTTGATGGCTCATCATCTTTTTCCTATAACTTATCAGCGATTCTTCCCAAAGCATCCGCCAGCTTATTAAGAACAGTAACTAAACTACCTGTGTGATCTTTTCGCTGCTCCCTATCCAATTGAAAATTGGTGTTCTGAGCTTCGAGTTGTGCACACAACATTTTCCCGTTCTTTTCTAAAACTTCAATCAACTGACACTGCAAAGTGTTTGTTTCCTCATCTCCATCCGCACCAAATCGTCTCCGCTTACGTCCTTCATGAGAAGTAGTAGCTCCCACCTCGGGGTTTGAGGTTTGTTGCGTCCCATGGGTTGCACCTGTGGAACAAAAGCTTAGCCCAGCGCGCAACAAAACCACGACTCCACATTATATAAACTATAAAGTACATTTTTCTGGCACAGAAAATAAGGTATTATATTTTGATGAAACTCCAAATTATAATTTTAGTGCACCCTCGGCTTACCATTATTTCATTTCATTCTATTTAGTTGCAAAGAGTATATACATGGGAGTTTTGTCAACTTGCATATTTTTGTTGAGTAAAAGATCAAGTATACCACGCCACTTATCATCCCCTCTTCCCATAGAGGAGACATAAAGAAAAAGAAAAGATACAGTGATCGTGTGCACTTACATTTTCTATTCCTTTATTTTTTTTTTTTAAACATTTCGATAATTTCAAATAGAAACTATCAATAACCAAAACAATTTAGCACTAGTTAAGATCTGTGCTTGACTAGGGCTGAAAATTAATGTGTTAAACTAGACAAAGAACCTGACTTTGACAGAACGAATAAATAAGATGGCTATACCTTTGCCAGGGCCAACAGATTACCCATATGACCAAATTCATGAAGATAAGGAAGTGGGGTCCTGCATTTGGATATATATAGATACTGAAAATTGACCTGATCGGACCAAAATAATTTGCAAACCATTATCCAACTGCTATAATTCCTACCTGTGGTACAATAAGTTGTGACAAATCCTATGACCAAAAAGGACTCCATGCCAAATATACCCCAGTCAGACGCCATTTGGATAATCGTGGTCCAACATTGAGCGAGCTAGACAGAAGATGCACATAGGAAGTACATTCAAATTCTATCAGCCAGGCTTTGAACGAATTTCCTCTATACACATGGAAAATACCCCAAATTGACAAATTTGAACAAGGGATGAGCCAGTGAAGGCGTTAAACAACACTTTTGGTCACTATAGGATCATTCTTAAGAAACTAGTTTGAGAGTACCGTCAACCAAAAAGTATATCAATCTTAGTTGAACAAAAAGCTTCCACTTGCTACAATTCTATAGCCTGATGCAGAAATGTTACTAGAAAGGGAACCCCATGTCAGATTAGAACCACCAAAAATGAGAAATAGTCACTCTAATAAGGCAGTATTGACTCATCCCGGTTTGCATTATTACAAAATCAATCAAGAAAAAGCTGTCATGACAACCATGGACTTGAATTGTATTTTTGACACCTCTAAATTACTGCTAATGCAGTGAGTGTTTGCGATACATGAACCACTAAGATGATTTTTCTGTTTTCTTAATGTACAAGTTCATTAACACAATCGAAGCGGCAACAAATATACTTGGAATTGTGAGCCAATTAAAAAGTGTTGTCCCAAATCACCCCAAAGCAAGCATCATATCTAACATAAACTACACCAAGAATTTGGTTTTTTAAATAATAAACAGAGGAGGAAACAAATATAAAAGCTTGACATTTGCATATAAAGTGTCTACAATTTAGTTGGAATAACATTACCTTGAGAAAATGGTTGGTATTGTTTCTCTGTAAATGAAGATATAAAAAATGAATCAGAACAATCCCAGGATTAAGGTTGTAATACTAATAGAAACAACAACAAAAACATTAAACAACAGATAAAAGCAAGAAAGAAAAAAAGAAAACAGTAATAATAATAATAATAATAATAATAAGTCAACGCCTGTATAGTTAAGCCCATCAAAAACAGAGACCGACCCACCACACCACACCACAGCACAGGGAACATTCACAGAAAGCAAACGAAGAAGAGAAAACATAATAATAATAAGGGTTTAAGCTCATCAAATTCAAATCAAAACCCACTGTAAACTCAGCCAAATTGGATAATCGGATATCAATTCGCCAATCCAAATTACCTGAAATTGGAATTGGAATTGGAACTGGACCAGGAGCAGGTAGAGTCTTGGTAAACTCCTTTTCGGGGCTGCCAGCAGCCTCCTCTTGAGCCGACTGCGCAAAATCTGAAAACAAGCCATTCCGGCCACTATCAAACACAGCCTCGTCGTCCTGCTGATTATTATTAAGATGATCGTCCTCGTCCTGAGGCTGAGGCTGAGATGGTGGAGCAAGAGGGAAAAGCAAAGGCGTGGGAGTAACAGAAGAAGAGGGTGAGGTCCCATTGTCGAGAATATCGTAGACCTCTCTGTCAAAGAATCCGGGCAACTTCCTCTCTCTCCTCAAATCGTTCCTCATCACCCAGAAGGACTCCGTCGTGTCTTCCCTTGTTATCTGCGATTCCCATTCTTTGATCTTCTTGTAGTCTCCTGCCAAATTGCTCCACCTCTTCCTGCACTGAACAGGTCCCCTGTTCACCCCGTGCCTCTTGCAGTACGACGACACCGACGCCCACTTTGACTCCACCTGCACCAGCCCCTGCCCCTGCCCTAGACCCCCCGCCGCCCTTCCCCTCCTAACCCTGCTCTCCGCCACTCTCTTCCCTTGAATTAGCACCAGAATCTCTTGCCTACTCCATCGAGGCAGCCTCGCCGCCCTGTTCCCCTCTTCTCCTCCGCCCCCCTCCGCCGCCTGCCCCACTACTTCTCCGCCGTTTGCCACGTTCATTACACCTCACTTTCTTTGCCTTCTTCTTTAATATATCATTTTTTTTTTATTATTATCTATACATGTAAGTAACTCAATTTTTGGGTTTACAATGTATTTATTTGTTTAATTTTTCCATAATCACCCAAGACCCCTTTTTTTTTTATTAATAAGATATGCCGGTATTGATCTCACATCAACTTGGCCCGCCACTAAATTTTGTTACTAAAAGAAATCAATCATAATTTTTTTTTGATTGTTAAAAGAAATTGATAATTTAATGTACCTAAGTTTGTATTCAAATCTTTGATCAAAGTATCACATCCTAATTAATTATCACATCTATAATTTTTTTAAAAATAATAATAATAATTAAAATAGAACCAAATCTTCAAAAGTTTCCAAATTTTCACAATTTTATACGGATAAATATTATAGAATGATTTTCTTCTTTTCATAACTCTAAACGCAGATATATATTTAGATCTCACTGACTATTGAAAAACTTTAGTCATAGTATCAATATTTGATATTGAGTTGATTAGGACACCCCACCCTACCCACAAATCAAAAAAAAAGAATTTCTAATCCACTTCGCTTTATATCTTCTACCTTTGAAATATAATTTGAATCACTAACCCCCCAATCTTTTCACTTAATAATGCTTATAATGGTCCCTCTCCAAAAATGGACCACATCTTTTTTTCCTCTTTTCTTTTTGGAATTGTTTGGAGCACTGAATTGATGAGAGCACCAACCATTGCTCTCCTCTACAAGTAATATCTCACAATAGAATCTATAAGGGTACATATTGAAGTTTTTAAGTGCTACCTAGCCCCTCTCAAATTTATGATGGAGACTGTTAAATCCACTCCTCACATGGGTGGACCCTTCAGGAGTCCTTTTTTTTTTTCCCCCTTCTTTTTAATTAAATCAAATCAATTGCCCTCAAATTCAATAAAAGAGTGTAATAACAGCATAAGCCTCAAATGAGAGCAAAGTTAGTAGGTAGTCACATTCTGCTTCATTTTCTTTTCCTTTTTATTTTATTTTATTTATTTATGGATCATTTGGTAATGATTTTTTTTAGTTGACTTTTTTAGTCTGAGATTTTTTTAGTCTCCGTTTGGAAAGTGAGTTAACTTTTTGACTTTTTAACTTTTTTTGCTATTTTAACCTAAAAAGTTTGGTTTGGGAATGACTTTTTAACTTTTTTGACTTTTTTTTTAAGAGAATAGTGTAATGATTATAGATTGGATGTGATATTTTATTTTTTGTGACTAAAATAGCCTATTTTGTCTTTTGTGGCTAAAATAGCCAAAAAAACCTAGAAAAGCCTTTCCCAAACGGACCCTTTTTTGACTTTTTTGCTATAGAATGACAAAACTCTCCTTAGTATAGAATGATGCTTTTTTTACTTTTTGTTTGTATATAGGGTAGTTTGGTACTTCTGTAATTTTTTTGTCTTTTTGTGATTTTGTAATTTTTTTTTGTCTATTGTGATTATATAGGCTAGTTTTGGGAAGTTGGCTTTTAGCCATTTTTTTTGATTTGTAGCAAAAGTTAAAAGTTGACTTTTTTGAAATTTTTTTCATTTGGAAATGTGGTTTTTAGCCAAGGATAAAATTATAATTTTATCCCTCATGAGTCAAAATATACTACATGGGTGAAGTTGTAATATTTTAAACTAAATAGAGATAGTTTGGTCATTTGATTATGATTTGACATCATAAACAAATATTAATCAAAAAAGTCAAAAGTCACTTTTTACCAACTTTTCAAATCATTGTTTTAAAAAAGCCTAAAACTTGATTAAAAATCAAAAAATCACTTTTTACTATCTTCCTAGCCTAGCAAGAATGCCAAACCAAGTACATTGTGTGTCCCCCATGTCAAGGTGGATGCCATATGGGTAACCTTAGGGATAAAAAAAAAATTATATTATTCTAACACTCATATAAGTATTTAGTAAAAATTTTATTAGAATATTTAAAATCTCTAATATTTCTGTTACCATTTTTGTATAACTATAATCATTAGTATGAAACATTTCAAATAATTAATTTTACATTATAATTGCAAATTTTAGTATAGTAAAACTTTTAGTTTCAATCTTGGTATTCATATAAACTTATTATTTCTAAGGCTATGTTTGTTTTCATATAAAATGTTTTTGTCAAAAATAGTTTACACATTTTTTATGATTTAGTTGAACAAAAAGTAAGCAAAATATTTTTTAAGAAAAATATTATTGTATTATTTCCTCAAAAATGACATATCTTTAGAAATTCAATAATTCAATTTTTACAAAGTTAATTTTCATTCATTATCTATTCAACACATTTAGCTTTTTTAAATAAGTATTTTAACTCACTAAAAAGTCATAAATAACACTTTATTGAATTAAAATTTTTCTTTTTGATAATAAAATATTTTTATTTCAAATGTCAACCATATGCCAAAAACTAAAAATATATATATATTTTTTTATATAAAATTAATTTATAAGAAAAATACTTATTATGTATAATATTACGTGGAATTAAACGGAGGCTAAATCTCGTCGATAATTAGTAGCCGAATCAATTTAAATCCATAAATAAATAAAGGCAATTTTTTATGGGAAATTTTTTTTTAAGATTCATGATATTAAAGATTTTATAAAATAAAATATATACAATAATTTCATAGTAGTTAAGGTCTCTCAATATTTTTACAAAGAAAATTTGATTCAGAGAAATTTTGTCCAATTCAAAGAAATTTTAGTTGTGTTTGGAAGGGTTTTCAAACTATAATTCTACCCACACATTCTAATATCATGTTTGGATAGGGTTTTCAAATTATATTTTCACAACAAATAGAAAACTTTGCAGAAAATTCTGTGTCAGGAGAGATTTTCAATAATAAAAAAAAATTGAAATTTGGCTTAACTGGTCATTCAGCCGGTCAACCGGAACATGGCAATTTTTTTATTTTTTTGCAATTGGCACTTTTTTATATATGTTTAATAAAATAATATTTTCAAAATTTTTTATGAGCTTTTAATAGATTTTTGAGTTGTATGTTTGGTTATGAGTTGTAATTTTTTGTATCAAATATCATGTCACATCAAAAAAATTTCATTCAATTTAAAACTCTTTTCAAAACTCATTCACCAAACAAATTTTTCACACTCAAATCATAATTCCAAAACTCACAAATTCAAAATACAACTATATTCTCAAATAATATTTAGAAAATTCTACCAAAAGCTACCTTTAATTTTCATAGAGAAATTTACCAGATAAATTTTAAAAGTTCTCTATGAAATCAGAAAAATTTCTTTGAATCGAGATCGAAATTTTTCTGAGTCAGCCGAAATTTCTCTTAATCAAATTTTCTCAATGAAAATGTTGAAAGATCTTAACTAATAAAAAAAATATCTTAAACCTCTCCTATTACACAAAATTAGAGAGGAATGTTTCACTAATTTTCTCATTTTTTATTCTATATTAGTGCTCTTCCTTTCCTACCAGCCCATACCCCAATCCAATCTAATTCCCACCACTAGTGGCAGTTAAATTACTTAAGCTTGGTTTGAGATGTTTTAAATAAATGTATTTTTTAAATTTTTTATAAAAAAAATATGTAGAAAAGTAGAGATGAGATGTTAATTGATGTGACTCAAATAAATATTCTTATGCAAAAAAGTGTACTTATATAGTTTAACCTAAACAAAGCTTTAGTGATGTTTCCAATTATCCATTAAAATTTTTTTTTGCTTAGATAATTACTCAATAGTAATGCTAAAAACATTATTATAATTATTGAGACACAAGACTTATAGGTGCATTTTATTACCTGGATAGATATGTATAAGAGAGATTTATTTATAAGTCATTTTTTAGATACTTATGGTAGGCTAAGTCCTGTGTAATTTCTTATAGAGTCTTAAGTCTTATTTAGATAGGAATATATTCCACAAGATCCTACATAAACGTAACGTGACGTGACACTTACATAAACGTAACGAAACGTGACACCTACATAAACGTAACGTAACGTGACACCTATATAAACGTAACGTAACGTAACGTAACGTGACACTTATATAAACGTAACGTGACACCTACATAAACATAACGTTATGTGTCACGTTACGTTTCGCAAACTTAATAAATTTTTATTTTTTAAAATTGAATGTGAAAATGTTTCTGGTTTATATTAGTGTCACGTTACGTTTCATATAAATATGATCTATGACAACATTCAATTTCCTATATCATAGGTGTCACGTTACGTTTATGTAGATATCACGTTGCGTTACGTTACGTTTATGTAGATGTTACATTACGTTACGTTTATGTAGATATGATCTATGGTAACATTTAATTTCCTATATAGGAAATACATAAACATAACGTTATGTGTCACGTTACGTTTCGCAAACTTAATAAATTTTTATTTTTTAAAATTGAATGTGAAAATGTTGCTGGTTTATATTAGTGTCACATTACGTTTCATATAAATATGATCTATGACAACATTCAATTTCCTATATCATAGGTGTCACGTTACGTTTATGTAGATATCACGTTACGTTACGTTACGTTTATGTAGATGTTACATTACATTACGTTTATATAGATATGATCTATGGTAACATTTAATTTCCTATATAGAAAATTGAATGTTGCCATAGATCATAAGTGTCACGTTATATTTATGTAAGAGTCACGTTACGTTTATGTAGGTGTCACGTTACGTTACGTTTATATAAATATGATCTATGGTAACATTCAATTTTCTATATATGATTTTACTATTATTTATGATATTAACAATTAATATTGAGGATAAATGTGTCAACAATCTTCCCACAGAACTTATAAGAACATAAATTTTTTAGTAGAACCATATATAATATAAATCTTCCTAATAAGATTTATAAATAATTTTCTCTATATATAATACGGGATGTTGTAGTTAAAAACATGTTAATGTTTTTATTTTTTTTATGATCTAACAACTATATAATTTGATTTTTAATATATTTTATTTTATTTTAAATAATGAGGTTCTGTGAGTGATGGGGCAAACTTTTTTTAACCTCGTAAATGGTTGGTGGGTAAAACAAACCATTTTTTTAGTGGTGGAAATGATTGGGCTATGACTGACTTATATATATATATATATATATATGTGTGGTGACTATTATTATGGGTTTTGTTAATTAATAGTGTGTGGATGTGTAATGGGTTTCGTGGCCATCCATGTTGGAGGCTTTTCCCAAGTTCCTCAGCTCATGGAAAATAGTCCATCCATCCATCCATCCATCCTCACCCCATTCCTTACTTTATTGGGCCTATTAATTTCACATCCCCAGCACAATTTGTTTGGGGGCAGTTTACTCAGTTATTTTTTTTACTTTTTCTTTTTAAATTTTAAAAAATGTGTTAAAATATTTGATGTAATTTTTATTTAATACTTATGAAGTAGAAATAAATTAAGTAAATTAACCATTGAGAAGCAATCTGAAAAATACTTTTAATTTATACAGAATTTTCAACTCATAAAAAGTGTACCAAATAAACCCTTAATATAATTTAAAATTTTGGGCAAATTACCAACGCTCATCGAGATTTAATTTAAATATGGATTTTTTCCTGAAGTTTATATTTGTATAATTTGTTATGTAAATATAAACCTCAGAGGACATGATGTAATTTTTCAAATCTCAAGAGAAATCCGTATTTTAGTTAAATTTCGAAAGGTATTGGTAATCTGCCCTAAAAATTTTGGTATCAACTAAAATCAAATAGTAACATGAACCCTCTTTTTTTTTTCTTTCTTTTTTTTCTTTTTTTATGAGGGTGTATGAAGTTTTGCTCCCACTAATTTTCTAGTATATATAGACTCAAATTTTATTTGATGCATTTTATTGTAGCTGCCTGACTTTTCTTTTTTGGAAAAATAGAGTATTTATAATTGATGAGTTATAAAAATAAAAAATAAAAAAATTTGATCGGTGAAAGTTAATTGTTAACCGTTAGACTAGCACCAATGAGAGTAAGTTTTCTTATCCTTATAAAGGCAGTGTTTGGGAAGTTTGTTTTTTGGTTTTTTTTTTTACTAAAAGACAAATTGGTTACAAAACAAAAAAAAATAAATCCAAACAAAATATCACATCAAACTCCATAATTATTTTACTTTTTCTCTCACAAACATCACATTCAACCACAAAAAAACCCAACTATCTTCTCAAACACAAAAAAAAAATTCTCCAATGGAAGTGGATTTTTTTTGTAGATTTTTTTAATTATATAATATTATTAGAGAAATTTTTTTTTGTGTTTGGGGAGATAGTTGGGTTTTTTTTGTGACTGGATGTGATGTTTGTGAGAGAAAAAATGAAATGATTATGGGGTTTGATGTGATATTTTTTTTATGAGTGTTTGGAAAGTGAATTTTTTTGTAGTTTTTTTAGTTGTAAGATATTATTGGAGAAATTTTTTTTGTGTCTGGGAAGATAATTGAATTTTTTTGTGGTTAGATGTAATGTTTGTAAGAGAAAAAGTAAAATGATTATGGGATTTGATGTAATATTTTGTTTAGATTTATTTATTTTTTTGGATTTTATAACCAATTTGTCTTTAAGTGAAAAAAAAAAAAACTAAAAAAAACCAAAAAACAAACTTCCCAAACACCGCCTTACAAATGCGATTGCCCAAAAAAAAAAAAAAAAAAAAAAAACTGTTGTTGGCATGTATGTTGTTAGGTAAAGATAGAGTGGTGCAATTAGCTACGATTATATATAGATTATATTCTCAAAAACAAAAACAAAAACAAAAACAAAAATAAAAAAATGTTTTCATTCATTACAATTTGCAAATTCTACACTGTTGTTGCCTATATAAATCACTCCAATTGGGTGAATGAAGTCATGTCTTTTAGGTTTGACAAAGGTTAATTAGTGGCAATAATAATACTTCATCTGTTTCAAAATATTAGTTCCTTGTTTTATTTTTTATTATCCCAAAGTTTTAGTCTATTTTCAAAAATCAAAAACTAAAATAATATGAATTTCCTATTTTACTTTTTTTAAAAATTCATTAATACAAAAAGTACAATTATAACAATTGATATTCCTCAAAAAAATATACTATTAAAGGGTAATTTTGAAAAATTAATTTTTTTAAGTATAATAATTATATTATCAAAAAAAAATTAAATTCCTCAAAATGAATTATTATTTTAGAACCAAAGAAGTAATAGTGACAGCATAACTAAAGTAATAATTTATTTGAATCAAGGCTATCTTAGTCAAAGGATAATAGCCCATAGCCTGTGCCTTGAACTCTGATTGGGTTTCCCTTTTTTCTTTTCTTTTTTAATATTCTATTTTACCGGGAGATTAAGGTTTCTTAATTTTCATGTAAAACGCATAATCCTGTTTTACTTTTTCTTTAATCACCCACTTAATCTTTGGGGTCCATGATCAACTATAGGACCTTCAGTGGCAGACATGGACTAGTAATTTCTTCTTAAGACTAGATCAAAGTGATCCATTGCTTTGATCCTTGACCTTTTGCTCTACTCCAGCAAATGACATTTTCAACCTTTTAACATCAATTCGTTCAAAAAACCTATTCGTTCAAAAAAAACCTTTTACCATCAACAAAACCAAACAATCTCCGCCGGTGTACAAAAGCTTCTCTTTTTATTTTTGTTCATTCTGCATAATTCTTTTAGATTACAGAAATAAAATGGCCATGCTCTATTACATTACATAACTTATTGTATGTCCCCAAAAAAATGAACCAAAAATAATAAAAGGAAAGAAAATTGAGTATATCACAAAAACAGGCAATAGTTTGTCAATATATAATAGAAATCCAAAATAAGTACCGTATATTAACATTCATTACAACAATGCGACATCCACCAATGATAAATGTCACTCTATAAATATTTTTTGAAACATAAACAAGCACCTTTTCAATCTAACAAACCAACCCCGCCCTCCTTCCAAAATACAATAAAACAATAAGCAAAGAGCTATTTCACCTCGAGAGTACAAATATTTCATATATACTTGACCAACTATTTTGCCTCGAGAAAATGAGAAATGGCAAAACTATCCATGTGGTTGTCTTTTCCACAAAAAGCTAGCTAGAAAAATGGTACCAAGAAGCTGAAACTTCACTAGTATAAACGTTTACGACAATCTGCCATCCCACAACGGCATAGAAGCTCTTTTATTTTTCCATCAGGACCAATAACGCTATCAAGAGCGTATCCATAGTCATATGTAAGTTCCTGAGTGTAACATGGAATGACAATATGTTATCTCAATGTTTTTTGAAATATAAAAGCTAATCCAATAAGACAAGTACAAGCTATGGTTGGTGTTAAATACACTCTCATCATTTGAGCATTAATACATAAAGAAAGGATTTTCGCCAAGTACCAATAGTCCACTTCACACAACAGCTTAATTGAGATAATTTATTTGAAAATTTCACTTTGTTTGCTCGTTAACAATGAAGTAAGAGTTTCAGAATTTACTTTGTAAATATCATCAAATCCTTCACGTAGTAATTTACTACTTTGTTTAGAGAGAGAGAGAGAGAGAGAACAATAAGAACAGTTGCAATATATTTTCAATGTTTTGATCTTCTGTAACAGATTCAACATTCAAAAACCTAATATTATAGCCAGTGACAGACTATTATCAAGATTTGTTTTACAATTGGAAGGAAAGCATTAAAGGTCCAAATAAATTAGTTTATCCCAAGCCTGAAGAAACCTTCATGAATATGTATCAGGTTGCAAAGATCATTTTGCCATTTAGCACATAAAGTCGTCATTATTTCATCTTGTCATAAGTGGCAGATTGATTATAGCTGCCGATAACAAAGTGAAATAGGACAGATATATTGAAATATGAAATTTCAAATGGGTATGAAACAAGCAATCTGGCTCCTCCTATTTTCAATGCAAGCTCAAAAATAAAGTAATGCTCAACATGAGGAAAAGAAATATGTAAGACAGCACGTCACCTGAAAAGGAGCTATTTTTTCTGCAGCAAACAACACCACCCGAGCAAGTCTGACATCATGATGCATGCTTAAAACACACTGAACAAAGAGGTTAGGCTCGCAACTGTGATTGATAAATCTAGCAACATTACCCACAGAGCCCGCATCTATGCAAAATTCAGGTGTACTGTCTAATGCCCTGTCATCTATTTTCTCCAAGTGGTTACTGATCGGCCCAGATGCATCTCCTAATCGCCTCTGAAAAGAGAAGAAATTGGTCAAGGAAATGCATTAACGAAATGTAATTGAAAGGCCTGATGCTATGCAAAGTGGAAAATGCCGTGGAACCAGAGACTGAACATCAAACCTAATAAAGCATTAGATAACTAATCAACTTTGAATAATAATTAATATAAAAACTCCTATAGTTGAATTAGCAAAAAGGAGTAGCAATGATAAAAAAATTCTAGGAGTATAATTAAGCTATAATAGAATTTAAGAGAGCAGCAAGATTAAATTGAAGCAATGCAATTTCTATCATGAAGTACATGGTCAAAAAGATACATATTTTTTTTGATAAATAAAATCAGATATTATTAAAAAGCATCAAGGAGATGCAAAGAATACAAAACTAAAGCCCTCAAAAGGCCACAAACTAAAAAATCAAATCATCGACAAAATCTACAAAAGCCAACACATCCGCATCCACCGACATCAACAAAAAGATAAATATGAAACTTTCAATAATTCGAAAAAGAGAAAGAACATCACTTGTGCTATACCCATTATATGTAAAAACAAAATATAGCACAGAAGGAAAATTTTATTCGGAAAAAGTGGATGAGTCACCAATGAAAATCATATAAGAAACCAAGTTTAAGACTTGATAATTCTACGGCATTCAAAAAGTCGAGAAATACTTAAAAATAAGGATCCAAGTGTCATAGAGACTGTTAAAACCTATCACCTACTTCACCCACTTAAACCTACTCCACTAAACCTAACCCACTACACCACTACCACCTCACCTACTCCACTAAACCTAACCCACTACACCACTACCATCTCACCTACTCCACTAAACCTAACCCACTACACCACTACCACCTCCACTTCACCTACTCCTTACCTACTACACACTCACCCTCTTCTATATATAGGAATCATGAATCATTGTAATAAATCAATAAACATCAATCAATAATACATAAATTCTTACAGAGACTATAATGGTACTCCTGTTTACGAAGTCGTTACGCAATGATAGTGTAGTGTGCAAAAGAAAGAAACATTGAAACCCATATAGTTGCAGTGAATTTCATTTTGCATACATCCAGATTACAACCCACAGTGAAGTTGCTTTAGCACCAGAAAACAGATTTAGTAACTCAAGTTGATTAAAACAATAGGGTGGTCAAATTATAGAGAAACTGAGGCAAAAATCATTAAAATCAAAAGGTTAAATGTAATTTCCTGAATAGCTGCAATTACCTCTCTTCCCCCAATCTCCTTCATTGTATGCAAACAATCAATTTCAAATATATAATCATTCTCAGCAACATTATCCAGTTCGTCTGTTCTCCTGAGCACTCCAATATATTCACACACTGGTGCACCTGAAGGAATAAAGTCTCTAGACCTGACGGCCCACCCTTTTTCTGGTGTTCGGAAAACCTGTTCAAAGGAAGGATAGGGCATTAATTCTGTATTACATAATATTCATGATGAATCAGAAATAATTATGGAGACTTGACCTCAAGTTGATACTTTATTCCTTGCTGAGATATACGGTTAATGCAACCAAGTCCACAGCCACAGTTTGGTCCACATTCAAACACAACATCCTTTGCCTCAATCAGTCTGAACCAAGTAAAACAAGAAGTACAACTTTCAATTAAAGAAAAGCGAGTCATAGATTTAAAACTGAGAGAAAAGAAGTGACAGATGCAGCACCAATACAAAAATTCTGCAATTGCAATCAATTTAGATAATGGCACAGATAACTGCTTATCTGCTTCAAAAGATAGACACCCTAATCAATTTAGATTATGTAGGACCTCTAGAAGATAATTTGTAGAGACTTAGTTGGGGAGCATGGTAGTGGAGGTGGTGGGTGGTAGTGGAGATGGTAGGTGGAGTTGGTGGTGTGGTAATTTACACAATTTACAATTTACATTAACATAGTACAACTTTCAATTAAAGAAAAGCGAGTCATAGATTTAAAACTGAGAGAAAAGAAGTGACAGAGGCAGCACCAATACAAAAATTCTGCAATTGCAATCAATTTAGATAATGGCACAGATAACTGCTTATCTGCTTCAAAAGATAGACAAATCAATTTAGATTATGTAGGACCTCTAGAAGATAATTTGTAGAGACTTAGTTGGGGAGCAAGTTGAGTGGTCTTATACCTTGGACATCTTTAAATACTGGTTTTCATACAATGTAAATCCTTTCAAACATTTCAGAACTTTCAATAATATAATTTAAACTATGTACCAAATCTTGTTTATGAATGTGAAAACCAGTGGATATCTCTGTGTGTATAAGGTTATGCTTTACAAACGTTTTGCACGCCATCCATGGTTAGTCCCAGCTACAAGGGGGCAATAAGCATGCTAGTAGCCTTTGTTTTGAGAGGTCTCCTTCGTTTTCCATGTTTCACGGCCTCCGTTTGCCACTTTGTGACCTCCGATGGGAATCTGGATCAACACGGACCTTGTTCCGAAGTGATGGGCACAATAACATGAAACTTGGTTTGTTTACAAACATGGTTACTTTTGTTGGAAAGTCTCTGTTATGAATTCCATATGGAAATTGATTTACAGCTATTACAAGTTACGTTTTATTACATTTAGATATCCATGGTACTTATTTATTGCTTTGTCTCAATATAATGCTATTCACTGGCTTCAGCTCACACCTATTGTTAATAATCATATTTTCAAGTGATGTGGCTTATCTTGGAACCCCTTTGCATTTTACATGCTTTTGTCCTTGTAGTGCTTGGAACATGCCAGCATCTACCTAGTTTCTTTTTTACTCTTGTTCTAGTATGATTGTATATAGCTATGTTGGTAATAGTAATTGCCAGGTTCTTATAAATTTTGGCCAAATGAAGGTTAAGTCCTAAGACTCTTTATGTATGTATTATCTGTGCCACAGGCCGTGCATTTAGACAATTGCTCCAATGTGGGATGTATTTGACATCAGGACACTTTTTCCTTATTTTTTGTGTATATTTAGAGGCATTCTTCTGCCCAGCTGCATTAATTCTGTTTAGATTAATTTTAATCACATCTGGTTTTGTTTTGAGGCCTATATTATCAGCCGGTTAAGTCTTTTAATCCCAGATTAGGGGTGGGGATGCGACAAGAAGTGTGTCATGGGCAGCAGAATCCCTAGTTCTGTGGATGTATCATATATTTATATCTTAGTTCATATTCAGTTATAGGAAGAATTGGATCGCAGTAACTCCCATCCATGCAGTAAACTTTAAATTCCAATACAAACCTAAATATGCATTCTCAAAATTAGGAACCGAAGGACTATACTGCCAGTTTAACAAATTAATATATATAAAAATATTGAATTTCAATACAAGAAGCTCCTTCAGAAGCATGTTGCGGACATGAGTAGATAATTCAAATCTCACCTGCCACCATTTCGGAGTACATATGGAAAGTCACTACCATTAAGTCTAGCACAAGCACAAGCTTTTGCATTCATACAATTTCCTTTGCACTTGCATCCACAGGCATTTGGGGGGAGTTTTATGTTTTCTGCAACTTGAATAGATTTGGAATATGTAAAACCTGCAATTTTGTGAATGGAGGTTGCATCCTAAATAAGTGCCCAGAGTAGTCAGGCAGTGCAAGGCAATTCTAATAACAAAGATATGCACTAATGAGACTTCCACTTATTATAGAGCAGGACGAAAAATAGTATTTGCATGTTTCAGTTTGCCTAAAAATTTGTGGAGAAAAAAGAAAAGGTAATTAGCTCCTTCATTGTATGCTTTTCCTTTCACTCTTTTTCGTTAGTATGTTGTGGGGATCATTGTTAACAGAAATTTGAGAGAAAAATACTTATCAAAAAGGGACTATAACGGTGACAAAAAGGGCAAAAGGGCAGTTTAAAGCTGTGATGGTTGGTACTTTACAGTGCAAAGAAAAATGTCTAACCCGTGGTTATTATTGAGTCTATAACTTCTATTTTTAGCTTAGTTGAGTCTTGAGCATGTTCTGTAGTGACGAATCATCATGGAAGACTTAGACTTCAAGCCAGATAGACATACTCAACATTTTTTAAAAGGTAAAATTCATTCATTTGTAGTAGCATCATTTTGAGAATTTTATCTCTCTTAGTCTATTAGGCTTGTTTTTATTGAGTTCACGACCATAGTTAGTTTAATTGTAGACTATAGAGTTTCTTCTTAAAAACTTTCTTTAAACTTAAAAATCCTCTGCATGCACTATATGGTAACTAGTACCTGGAAAGGTTAATACCAAATTATCCAAATTACTTATGATGCTCATAACAGAGGGAAAACCAACTGAGAGATCTACCGAGCCTTGTTTATAGACCAGTTTTCAAACTCAGCATAAACTGCCACCAATTAAGGGGTCAAACTGGTGAACTTGCCTGTAGGAGCAACAGGTGCATCATCAATTAAATTGGTAGCAGGAATCGGTACATCTTCTTGACCTCCAGATATGTCCTCAGACACCAGCCTTAAAAATAAAACAATTCAATAAGTTCATATTGTAATATCAGAGGAGAACAATAGAGAGTTATGTTGCTGCCTATTGATATCATACCCATGTAACTTAGAAGAGGCCTTCAATCCACGAGCTTGAGTAAAATAAACCTGTTGCACAGTGTAAGAAATGATACGACAAATATAGAGATGAAAGAGACAATTTTGCAAATCTAACTTAAAACACCAGTTATAATGTAATATGAAAATTATGAAATGCAAATAGTTGATAACCTGAGGATTGGTCAACTTGGGCTGTCGTCGTTCAAGCCGCCTTAAATGATTCTTGTAAGCTACAAAACCAAAAGCACCTTTTGTAGGCCAAAATCGAACAACCTTAAAGCATAGAATTTGGAATCAATCAAACCGAAGTTAGAAGTCATGATAAAAAAGCAATTGGTGAAGTACATAGACATAATCAAATGACCATTCATGTTGAAATGAAATGTCAAGTCAACAAAGCCTTGTTGCAACTACTTGGGCTACATGAATCTTGTTTTTCTATTCCACTCAATCAAGGGCCTTGAATCATATACAATGTAACGTAATAAAAGTAGAATCTTCTTGCATAGTAGCTTAAGCATACCGTTAAATTGACAATTTTTTTTGGGTACATTGTCCATGCATTTTAATATTTTGAAACCAATACCAGCTATGGCTTTGAGCTTCTTGTCAATGTTCTATCCATGTTATTGCTTTTCATATCTGATTACTCTTGGGTAAGGTACAAATTCATAGATTACATAGTAACATCATGTTAGCCATCAACTTTTAACTACATTGACTGCATCAAGATATTTTTGTAAAAGAAGCCAGGATACATACCTAAGCTTCAAATATCATTATAGGCAAAATGCATTTTGCAAGTGTAAAATGGATTATCAAAAAGCTCACACAACTGAGGAGACACCACAGTGCTCAATCATGCCTAAGCTAAGAAGTTTTAAGGGACTACATGAAGACTTAGTAATGAAACCAGCCTACATTAGCTAGAAAAGTAAAAATTATGAGGAAGCCTTACCAAAAAGAACAATACAAGTCTAAGGATTTGAATGGTTATGCAATAAACATAAGAAACAAGGATATCAACTGTTATTCTAGAGAATTGCCTCAAAGGTTTGTTGAAAGAGTTCTGCCATAAAGACTGTAAGCATCATTACATAATGCTATAGAGATGAATAAGGGAAAAACCATCAGCGCATCATTACATAATGCTATAGAGATGAATAAGGGAAAAACCATCAGCGTAACAAGTGCCTTACTATCTTTTGTTCATAAGTGATTAAACCAAACCAAGCCTAATGTTCCAATCAAGTGGGGTACTACATCAATCCTTTTCACCATTTCTATGTGTCAAGGGATATATGATCAGTTTGATTAAGTAAATTCATATATTTTTTCACTACTACTATTATTGACATGAACTTGAGAAAAACTCTAAACTAGAATGCTAGCTGCATTAGATAGACAGCGTTAGCATTACCAATACTTCCAACCAAAAATTCCAGAAGTTCCAAAACATCTGAAGGAATGCCCTTGATAAGTGCTTATCAGCCCTCAAATTATGTCTAGATTGTAGCACAGTTGAATTGAAATCAGCATCTTGATGTCCATAACTTCTAATAATTTTTTATTTGATTTCATATTAGTTTTGTGTCACAATCCAAGTGCCCAATTTCATGAAGCAGGGCAAGAGCAAAAAGAGCAGCAAATTGTCTAAATTCTCGGGTTCCTAAGCACCATGCAAATACAGAAAAAATGTCCAGCTTGAGGAAAGGTGGCAAAGAACAAAACAGATAACCAAATATTCAAAAATCCCTTTATAAACGGCTATAGGCATTCATCAGGTCTAGCGTAAGATAAAATTTCCTCCTCTAATCTTTTATCAATATCACAAGTGATTTCATAGGCAATAAAATGTTTTCTGAAGTGTTTCTACCCTTATTAAACAGAGTGAATGAAATGAACAAAAGTATACAAATCAAATCCCCAGTTTGCTGAACCATTGATCAAGAACAAATATAAGCTCATCTAAGAAAATAATATAGTGTTGCAAAGGTCCTCACCTTATGTTTTAAACCTTTAGCAACTGTTCGATCATTGACCTCTCCTTTCTTGCATCTCTTCTCCTTTTCCTAGTAAAATCAGAAAAGATAACTTATCCATACTGTCCTCGTAAACTCCAAAAATTAGTTATAAATCTAAATGGTAGATTTTACCACAAAGGCAATCAAATCATAAAAATGAGAAGATCTATATAACCCTCCTAAACTATATCAAGAATTCAACGAGCATAAGCACAATTGATGTAGATTGATGTTCACAAGGAAGGGGAGATTGAAAAGGGCATCGATTGTAGAATCAAATTGGTGCAGTAACCACCTTGGTCCTTCCCTAATAGGTAGGATACAACATCAATCAAATTCATTACCCTACGTTTATACCCAAGACCACTCTCGCACACTTCTGATGTAGAACTCAACACACTTTTGCACAAGTAGGAGCCATGAGTAAAATCCAGACACATACAACGACTGGCTTAAGGTCTCAAAATAGAATGACCCCATGTTACAATACGCATAAAGCAATATAATCATGTGCACAACTCAGTCTGAAACCATAAATAACCACTTGGGTCTTTCCCCAAAAGGCTACCATTTGATATCACTTGCAAGTATTGTCTCCACTTATGTATATAATATATCTAAGATCTCCCTTACACACTTCTGATGTGGACTCAGCACATGCCCGCATAGGTCGGTGTCATGGCAGCGACACGTAGCTAAAGTGGTCATGCTTCTAGAGTATTGCACTTCAAATCTACTTAATGGAGAATCTTTATAGACACTTCCATGGTGTGAGGTATGCTAAATGATAAGCAACATGGAGCAGTTAAAAACAACATATACAAAAGCATGAGTGTGAAAATGCAGATCACTTAAGGAGTCGAAACAGGAGTCAAAACAGAGAAAAAGAAACAATAACAAATTAAGTCATTCTTTTAGATAAAATAAGAAATTAGTTTGAGATGAATTCATCATGTGCACGATGACCAATCATATTTACACTATCAAGGGAGGAGTTATATAATTGAAATGAAATGTAATAAAAACAAGATATAAGCCACTAAGGGTGTGGCGGCAATTCCTTCATACCTACTATTCCGTCTGGTTTTGGTTCCTGTGTAAGGTGGTGAAAAGAAGAAAAAAATAAAAAAGAGAGAGAGACATGATTTTCTACAATCAGGAACTAAGGCTTCATATAGTTCGGTAGAATTGTAATTGGAAAAATTCTAACACATTAATATCAAATAGAAATATAATGATCTCATGCTAAATCCCATCCATCTAATATGCATTTTACTAATTGACTCCACAATTTATCTATAAAAAGAATATCTTGATGAGGTATTTATTTATCTAGTCCAAGTCTTTCTGAAATTTTGGACGCATCAAACTGATAATGATGAGATATTTATGTAGAAAAACAGGTAGTAAAAGATGTAATCACCTGAACAAAGTGGAGGTAATGTCTATTGTCATTTATCAATGTATGTTTCACCCTTGCATGGGCACCTTTACCACCATCAGCATTGGGCGAAGAATTATAATCATCTGACCATTTTGAATTCTCTAATTTTGAATGAATATGCCCATTGCTACCAGCAGCAGAACACATTACTCCATTAAAAATTGCTTCATCACTCCCAGAAACTCGGTCCCAGACCTTTTCAAAACCGCAATTTGGCAAGCCTTTTGTTTCCGAATTATCAACCTCACTTTTACATTCTTTGGCTATATCCCTATCTCTACTCACATTTGGTGAACTTTCTTGTGTAGAGTGGTTAGCATTGACGTTTTCCTGATTGTTTTTGTCATTTGAACATTGTGACAAAGCCCTTTGAGAAGTGCCGTAATAAGGTCTTTCACTTTCAGGTATGGTCTTTAGTCGTGGGCTAAATCTTCTCTGTACATAGGCACTTTTACCATCAGCATTAGATGAAGAATTACAATTATCCAACCGTTTTGAATTCCCTACTTTTGAATCAATATTCCCATTGTTACCAGCAGTAGAACACGTAAATCCATCAATAATTGCTGCATCACTCCCAAAACCTTGGTCACTGACCTTTTCAAAAATGCAATTTGGCAAGCCTTTTGTTTCCGAACAATCAACCTCACTTTTTTTATATTCTTTGTCTACATGTCTATCTCTACTCACAGTCAGTGAATTATCTTGTGTAGAGTGGTTAGCATTGACATTCTCCTGATTGTTTTTGTCATTTGAAAATTGTGGCGAATCCCTTTGAGAAGCACCATAATAGGGTCTTTTGCTTTCAGGTATGTTCTTTAATCGTGGGCTAAATCTTCGTTGAGCGTAGGCACTTTCACGATCGGCATTGGGTGAAGGATTATAAACATGAAAACATTTTGAATTCCCTACTTTTGAATCAATATTCTCATTGTTACCAGCAACAAAACATGTAACTCCATTAAACATTGCAGCATCAGTCCCAGAACCTTGGCCGCTGACCTTTTCAAAAGGTCCATAATAAGGTCTTTTATTTTCAGGTATGCTCTTTAGTCGTGGGCTAAATCTTCTCTGCGTATTGACACTAGAACCATCAAGTGAAGAATTACAAACATCCAACCATTTTGAATTCCCAACTTTTGAACCAATATTCCCATTGTTACCAGCAACAGAACATCTAACTCCATCAAAAATTGCAGCATCACTCCCAGAGCCTTGGTCCCTGACCTTTTCAAAACTGTAAGTTGGCGAGCCTATTGTTTCCGAATGATCAACCTCACTTTTACGTTTTTTGCCTGTATCCTTTTCTCTACTCACATTTGATGAACTTTCTTGTGTATTGTAGTTAGCATTGACATTTTCCTGATTGTTTTGGTCATTTGAACATTTTGATGAATCCCTTCGAGAAGTGCCATAATAAGGTCTTTTACTTTCAGGTATTTTCTTTAGTCGTGGGCTAAATCTTCTCTGCGCCCGGGCACTTTTATCATCAGCATTGAGTGAAGAATTGCAACCATCCAACCATTTTGAATTCCCTACTTTTGAATCAATATTCCCATTGTCACCAGCAGCAAAACACGCAACTCCATTAAAAACTGCGGCATCACTCCCAGAACCTTGGTCCCTGACCTTTTGAAAGGTGCAATTTGGCAAGCCTTTTGTTTCTGAACGATCAACCACTCTTTCGCAATCTTTGTCTACATCCTTTTCTCTACTCACATTTGGTGAAGTATCATTTGTAGAGTGGTTAGCATTGACATTTTCCTGATTTTTTTGTTCACTTGAACATTCTGACAAATCCCTTCGAGAAGGGCGATAATAAGGTCTTTTACTTTCAGGTATGTACTTTAGTCGTGGGCTAACTCTTCTCTGCACAGGAGATCCTTGAGATATAACCTTTCGAACATGTCGGATAACAGGTAATTTGCTGGTATATTCAAATTCCTGGTTGATCATGCTTTGATCAGAGTCCATCACAAGTTGCCTGTTGCTATCATTTTGAGGTTCAAACATAATCCTTGCTAATATTGTGAGGTTCGTCTTGTATTAGATTAGATCCATGCACTGTGATCGTTGGTTCAGATATAAATCTGCAGGGAAAAATCCCAAATATAATTGTAATATGCAATAATAGGCTCTTTCTTGAAACCAAAACAAGACTAGTAGAAAACTCACAGTCGATTGAGTTCATGATCAAAATCAGGGATGCTGGTTGGTGTAAAAATGGTATAAAAATTCATTCATACATGACATAAAGAAGTATATATGGCAGTCGAAGTCCACAGTACAATTTCATGCGATCACATCAACATTGTGAAATCCAAAGATTTGCAGAAAGACAAATGGAAATAGATATCAATAGCGTGTGCATGTCAGTATGAATTACAACTTTTAAATCAATTTCAGAAGAAGAAGAAGAAGAAGAAGAAGAAGATTCATACCCAATTGAGTGGGGGATATTGATTGAGAGGAACGCTGGTGAGATCGAGATCTGGATCTGAAGCTGAAGAAGAAGAAGAAGAAGAAAACTGGGGCAGGGCGACAGAGACGATGGAATGTGGTGGAGTGGGGGTGAGTTAAGTATAGATAGTTGTCTAGGGTTTTAAATCGGTGGGCATGGCAAGTGTTGCACAACTTCAAACCATCTTCAACGGGCGGGAGACAGAGAAAATGTGTGCAACTTTTTCTACTAGTATTTGGTCTTGTGATGTGATGAGAGAGCCACCGCTGGCCTGCTCCCAAATTCAGTAGGCCATCACTGTTTCCTATAGTGTTCCACCCTTAGCGCCCGTTTGTTTCAGAGGTATAACGGATTGACAGTGATGGAATGAAGTAAAATTGTATTTGATTTTATGACAGTGAATTGTTAAATTATTTTTATATAGAATAAATATAAAATAATAACATAAATAAAAAAATATAAAAATATTAAACATTAATGTTTTTAAAAAAATGCCTAACATGTAAAAAATTTTAAAAAAATAAAATAAAATAAAAATTCAGAAAAAAATAAAATAAATAAAATAATAATTTTTACTTAACAAAAAATATAAAAAATTAAATATTAATGTTTAAAAAAAAATGCCGACATGTAAAAAATAAAAATAAAAAATTTCTAATCCGCAGAACTATTTTTTTAATACCAAGTCCTGGAGGCCTATCCGAATCTCATCTGTAAGGCTTATCCTAAGCCCTTCAACTTAGTAATCCCTTCTTCAACTCTGTAAACAAACAACACATAAATAGGGCCTACAGCTATCCTAATCTCAATCTCCCTCTCATACCCCAAAACAAACGGGGCCTTATATAATTGCGATTTTTAAAGGGTAAAAAACCAATAAATCTCAAGTTTTGTATAGGTTGAACCATATGGCCCTGCAATTTATTTGAAAGACTGAAAGGTCCCAATTAAATGGTATTTCTGTGTTAACCCTCAGAAGGCACGCGAGGTGATGTTGTTTGGAAGGGATAATTTCGGGGTTTGGTGATATTGAGTTACCAAATTGTCCAAAAGCAACTATAGGCTTTTTTCCATTTTCCTTCCATTGCTAACATCGCCAAAGGTTAAAGGTTGGAACGACATCTGTAGTGGATGTTTTAGCGTTCATCTTCATTTTTGTTTGAGTGGTATGTGAGATTTGACAACGTTGCGTTTATTCAATTTCATTTTCGTAAATAACATTAGTGAACCCAATCAAAACCCTAACATCTAAAAACCCTTTCTACCAACGCTGTATCTGCGAACAATGTGGGTGTAGGGGTATTTCGGCCTGCGATTAACATTGTCGGTGAAACACCGATGACCTTACGTCAGTCTCCTCTATTGGAGACGTCATACACCGTGTGGGTGAAACATCAAAGCTATTTGGTATTAGCTAAATGTTAATCGCGTTTATTCAATTTCATTTTCGTAAATAACATTAGTGAACCCAATCAAAACCCTAACATTTAAAAACCCTTTCTGCCAAAGGTGCATTTGCGAAACAGCGTAGGCGTGGGGGTATTTCAGACTACGATTAACGTTGCCGGCGGAACACCGGTGACCTTACGTCAATCTGTCGAAGGCGTCGTTCACAGTGAAGGTGAAACATCAAAGCTTTTTGATATTAGTTGATGTTAATCGAAGAATACGTTGGTGTGATCGTAAACTACTGTGCTTATTGCTGATGTTGTTTTGTGATGATGACGTTGCTAATGTTGATGATGCTACTAATGTTGTTTTTGTGATGTTCCAGTGGTCATCTTGTTTTGTGATGACCCAAAATATAACATTATAAACCAAATACTAAAATGGTCAAACAACTTTCATAAGAGTCCATGAAATCCCCTCCTACAAAATAGTAATGTTACAACATCCTTAAACACACACACCATAACAAAATCAAAATAAAATTACAATATGGGCAAAAATGTAAACTCTATATACAATATATCAAAAAAATATACCATACCAAAAATAAAAAAGGACTAAATGGTTTAAGAAAAAACACTCCGGACTAACTAAAGCAACATTTATCAAAATGAAATTTATGAGTAATTTTTTCATTTTTAAATGCTTTTTTATTTTTTTTACACAGAAAAATAAATATAATAAATGCACCATATCTTTAATTAATTATTTTATATTTAATTTTATTCAAAATTTAAAAACAATATATAGGAAAAATTTATAATTAAATTAAGAAAAAATTTATTCCTAACGATATTTTTTTTACTTCTATATAAATATTTCAAAAAATAAACTTGAAAAATGTAGTCAATATAATATTATAAGTAAAAAAATGTGGTTAGCAATTATGCTTACATAAATTTACCATAGTTTTAATTTCATTTTTTTAAAAAAAAATATTTTAAAAGCATTTTATTTAGCTAGTACAAAATAAAATTTTCTTAACAAAAATGAAAGTTATAAAATTTTGTTGCAAATTTTTAAATGTCTATTGTTAAAAATTCTATTCTATTTGCTTATTTTGCTTGCTTGCTTACTTTGGAAGTTTTGATCTTTATCTTTACTCCACATTCATCGTATTGTTTTATTTTATTTTTTTCTTCTTACTTGATTTTCACATGATACTTTTTATATAGTATATCTCAGAGTGTACTAGTGAAAACATTATATACTTAAAATGTGCAAAATTACAAATATATAGAAAAAAAAAAAAGTAAGTAATTGTTCAAAACTAAAACTACTTTAAGAAAAAATAAAAATAAATAAATAAAATTATTTGAAATAGAAAATGATTTATTTATTTATTTATTTTTAAAAATAAACTTTCAAAGAAAACAAAGAAAATTATATATATATATATATATATATATAAAGGTACAGAAACCAAATATAAAATATAATACAAAAAATAAATAAATTATAGGATTTTCAAGAAGTCTTGCTTGATTTTCGCATAATACTTCTTCCATAGTGCATCTCTAAGTGTATTAGTGAAAATATTATACACTTAAAATGTACAAAATTACAATATATAGAGGGAAAAAAGAGAGTAAGTAATTGCCTAAAATTAAAACTGACATGGACAGGCCCACGAGGCATACAGCCCACGGCAAACCGCCCCGAACCCATCGCTTTGGACCCATAGCATAACTTGATTGGCAAAGCCCAGGACAGCTGGAGTCCACCTGGACGTGGAGGGCCAAGGGCATTCAGACACATGACAGATGAGACACAGGCCACATCAGCAGACAAAGATCTGCAGAGTTATTGCCACAACACATCACCATTAATGCAGCCCATCACAACATTTATTACGACAACACCTCCCCGTCGGAACAGAGCCCCCTCACCCTGAACAAGGTAAGCTACGGCACAGGCTTTCGGCGGAAAGGGGGCACGTCACAAAGGACAGTGAAATGATTACCAAAGGATATAAGCAACAAGAGAAGCACAAGAATAAGGTTAAGCTTTTTATCTCTCCATCTTCTCCCCTACATTTTTCCTGTTTTCCTCTACTAATTCTCTCGCCGGAGGGTTCACTGGGGGACTGTCCCGTTCCCCTTTGGACTTGCTTGCAGGTCATTTGACGGAATCACCACTCGAAACCGAAACCTGAAGAACCTGGGCTAGCCTGACCCATCCACCCGGGACGGACTGTACCATCAAAAACTACTTTAAGGAAAAATAAAAACAAAAATGAATTTTTTTGAAATAGAAAATGATTTATTTATTTATTTTAAAAAAATAAAACTTTTAAAGAAAACAAAGAAAACAATATTTAAAAAAAAATACGAAAACCAAATATAACATATAATACAAAAAATAAATGAATTATAAGATTTTCAATAAGTAAGACTCACAAACAAATTTTGTGAAATCTTGTCTATTCATATACTTTTTGTGTATGTTTTTTGTACTTCTAATACCGAGAATGACATTGAAATAGTATACACTTCTTGTATTAGGTCCATCTAGTAATTTTAGCAAACACAGGTGTAATAAATTTCATAAGACAAAACACAAACAATTATGAGACAAAATATCTAAAAAAATGAAAGCAACGTTCAATAATAATGTAGAAGCACGCCTAACGTTTTATTTGGAGATATAATCAGATAAGTCACCATAGAATGGGAAGACAACATTTATTTTTCATCACAAAAATTGCATAACTCAATATATAACTTTAATGTCTCTTACTCTTTCACACGTCCAATTCTCTATCAACATTAGAATGAATGAATGAACAAAAAAAAATGGAACATTTGAAAAGACAAAAAGATATGGTTTAAGACATTTCAATTGTTGAATTCTAGAGATGCTCGGGATTCGGTTTGAACGATTTGATTTGTAGTTTTGATCCGCCCGCATATGTGCAGTTTGGGAAAAATTAATCCCGCAACCGCCCGTAGTGTGGGTTGCAGTTTGTGCGGATAGGGTTTGCGGATATTCGGATGGTTGCAAGTGGGTTGCGAAGTGGACTTTTTTCTTTTAAAATTTATTTTTAGACATTTTTTTCCCCGTCTCGTAAATATGCATTTTGGTCCTTTTTCTCCCCATTTTTTTAAATGTTCAACATTAATAATTAATGAATTAAAACTTATAAAATTAAAAACACAAAAAAATAAATTCCTAATACAAGCAAATCATTCAAAATTTTAAACTTTTAAATAAAATCATAAACTAACACAAGCACATCTTTCAAAATACTAAACTAAATCATCAAAATCATTCACTACCCAACAATACAATTAAATTAAAATTATTCAAAATCCTAAACTTACTTAAAAGTAATTCTTCATTAATTTTTACATTCATCCAAAATGCAATAATAAAATAACAATAAATTATTGTCAAACTTCATCCAACTCAAACCCATTAAATAAAATAAAAACACTTGCAAACTCGCAAACTCCATCATAAAAATAAAAAATAAAAAGAGACTAAGTGCGGACGAGTTCTTGTGAGTGCGAGTAAGACCCGCAACCCATCCGCAACCCGCAATAATTCCATATTCTAAACCACATCCACCCCGCATTGTGTCTGAAAAACAGCTCATTTATATGCAGATCGATCCGGATTAGGCGGTTCGGATAGCTCTATGCCTAGCCCTATCGAATTCTATTAATTAATAGTTATTAGACTTAAATGGTCAGGTTTCTAATATTTGTTAATCATTAAAATTGAGTTCTTTGGTTTCATCTATGTTCACTTGATAATTTGAGAGTAGACACGTGTCAAGCCTGTACACAAACACTTTGCATATTTTTTGGGCATTATTAATGAAATGCACAGTATAATTTGTTTTCTTTTTCTTTTTTTTTGCAATTGCAACCTGTTATTTTTT